ACTGATTCCTCCAATGTTCAACATCGCGGAATAGGATGCATTCTCTAGTTATTGAAACTATGAAATCTTACTTTTAATTAATAAATTCTGTCGAAAGTGGCAGATAGATTTTATTTGCTTTTGTAAATGAATCTCACTGTTATGTTATCCTCTAGACTTTATTATTCTATATTTTTCAAGTTCCAGTAAATTTAAATATAATTGTTTATCGAAAGATTTGAAAGCAAACAATTCTATTGATATCTATGTCTCTTTATTTATTTTCAGTGTCTCTATATATTCTTTTTTACATTGCTTTAATCAAACCGCAATCTCGAACGATCACTGAACCATACATTACTCCTGATATTTTCAATCAACTTTATATCAAATATCCAACAGATCTTAAATGTCTCTGTTCGAACGTAACATTACCGTATGAAACTTTTGTTTCTCAGAAAATCACATTTCATTCGGTTTGTTCAAGCATTTTCGTCACTGAAAAATGGATAAAAGCACTGTATTTATCAAATGCAAGTCGATATGAACCGCGAGATTTCCCAAAAATAGCTAATTCTCAGGTTAGTCAATTTTATTTTCACAACATCGATTTCATTACAAATAAAAATCACATCTATAAAGATTAAAGATCAGTTTTAATTATTGATCTATATTAAGTATAAAAATGATTTTCTTAATAAAAGTATGTTTTTCTATTGATTTCAATAAATAGAATTGAATCATCTAGGAGACTATTGAGCAATGATTATGATTAACAAATCTAAGAATCTTAATCTGATTAGTACTTATTTAACTAGCATCTACATAATTGCTATTCATCCTAACGTAACTACACATGTTTTAGAATAATGTTTCACAATTATTATACAAAAAAAAGTAGTACGTTACCTTTCGGAATAAAGGAGTAGAGAATATTGTAGAATCCTACCATACTTATATGCATGATCGAGATATTTCTGAAATATTCTGCAATTTCCATTTCAAATAAAGTATATTCGACAGGATGTCGGTATGCCATAAGTAAAGACATCCGCATTATACCGTCAATCTTGCAAAACATATTTAAGGGACTAGATGGATTAATGTGTAAGATTATATAAAATTGAGCTATTCTGTTTATGAATTATCATGCGCTGATTAATGTTTTGAGCAAAATAGAAATTCTCAGAATTTTCAATAATATAATGATATATCCACTTAATCTATCGTAAATAATATGTTCAAAGTTGATTACTTTAATTGATTTTCTTTTTCAGTTCGAACTTCTGGCCAAATTTTGTTTACTCTCTGGTCAAATAGTTCAGCAAAATCGTATTGATATTGACAAGAATGAATTTGTTACTATTAATCTTCTTTCTAAAGAACAAGTTCATATACAAGTCAATACTACCATTGAATCTTTTCAGAATAGCGCATCTCTTCGAATTATTTGGTTCTTGGACTATTTTAGAACGAATACTCGAGAAAATTACCATATTTCAGCTCTCAATACAAACTTATTAATTAAAGCTTTCGTCTTCTTCCCTGATGCCGATATAATACCGACGCGGTCCCCAGTGACATAGTAAGTAGCGGATTTGAATATTTCTTGTTGATGTATATTGATGAAAATGTACTTGATTCAGACTTCAATTCTGTGCCCATTGGTGATGTTAACGAGAAGGAAGAGAGAGAAATCATTAGCAAAACAATAAACGAGGCAGGGATTAGGACGAATACATTGGATTTTTTTTAAGGATGTGGGTATGGGAGTAAGAGCATCTCTTCTCTTCGCACCCACGCCCACACCCACACCCTCAAGATTTAAGTGTTTTAGTCACGTGAAAACAACTGAAAATTCTTAGATTTCACATTTTTAAGACTTGAATTTTTGAGAGAGGAATCAAAAATCATTGGAAACAAGTGGTTTATAGTGAACAATTGCATAGGATGTAACGAAGAATTTTGTGAGGTAATTTACAATTAGATTTGAATATCAGTCGTAGCTATATAATGAAATCATTTAAAAATATCATTACTGGAAAGAATCAACGAAAAAAAATGTTACAGTTTTACATAAAACATCAACAAAAAATATTCAAATCTTTTATTAACTTTATCTATGTATATAATGTATTATTTAAATATCTTTAGTAACGTTGGGGGAGAGTTAGTTGGGATTTGTGAAAAAGATAATCCAATTGTTAAAACGTTTTCCACTTTATACTCAGACAAAATATTCGGTATTATTGACGGAGACAAGTTTATAGAATGGATCCGTTCTCCATATGTTGAAGGATTTTTTGCTGGATGTACTCCTCTTGAAGGTCTTCTTAATAGCACTCTCGACTGTTTATACGATTTTAAATGTGTTGAGTTATTGATTGATTGTTTTCCAAATCTTAATCGAGTATGTATAATGTTATTTTATTTCAACTATATATTATTTTTGCTTAGCTGAATATATCCTCCATGGATTCTATTCTCGTTCCACCAAATCAAAATAAATCTGTGTATGATCATTTACATAATCTTTTCATTGATGAATGGTCAATAGATGTAAATTATTCGAAATACTATGATAAATGTGCTCCTACATCTTGCACATATACCATAATTGATCAAATTAATTTTTCTTCTGCATTTACTCTTCTTATCAGTATCTATGGTGGTCTCATTATCATACTTCGTTTAATTACACCATTCTTAGTCAATATGTCAATGAAATTCAATTTTTGTTCAAGAACTAGAGGTGTTCATTTGTTTATGTTTTTATTAGAATTAAAATAATCTTATCTCTAATGTAATTTCTATCTATAATTTTTAGGGTCTTATAAAATATCTTTAAACCGATTGGGTCAATCAGCGAAACGGTTAAACTTGTTTAAGACGGTTGATGATCGAACAGAAAATAGCATTAAACAACAGAAGATTACTACATATGTTTATTTGATTTTATTAACAGGTACAGTTACTTTCATTCTACATATATTTACCATTGTATAAAATAGAAATAAGTTTATTCGTTAAAAGCATCTAGTTACTATGTTCTCGAATGATGAATATAATATTCTCATTCACATTCATCCTTATCTTAGTTGAAATATACATTTATTAAATGATAAATTCTTTCACTAAGTTTAGTCAGTCTTAGAAAAATCGTAATATTGAAAGTATATTTGTATGAAACATCATTTTCTTATTTTTATTTCAATAGGTTCACTTCTGATTCTCATTATCTTTACATCTCTAAGTACTCAAATAGTTACAATAACTGAATCAAATCCATCTTTAATAACTTATGATAAATTACAAGCTATGTATCCGAACACACTCAAATGTCCTTGTTCTAATACAGTTATACGTTATGATAAGTTTATGTCATTGTCTCCAATTTTACATCAAGTATGCTCCAGTGGTTTTATCCATGAAGATTTTCTTTCAGTAATGAAACAAAAGGTACCAACTTTAGGCACTAAGAGTGATTGGACTAATCGAGCATTCTCACATTTTCAGTTGTTAACGAAACTTTGTCTACTAGCTAATAAGACTATCACTGCAGCCGTTGATCGTTTTCTCATGCGATCCATCGTTATTTCAAACGTACTTAATGAAAATGATTTTAATACACAAATAAACGTAACTCTCGAGCAATTTTATCGATCGACAATTGTCGATTTTCGTTTTATAATTGACATACAACGTCTTTTTGTGCAAATTGATCAACCATATACAGGAAAAGCACCAATGATTTACTCCCAATATCTTACAAATCTAATCATAAAGAAAAATATGGCATATTCAGTAAACAATCAACAACCATCACAGGTTATATTATTTTTTCAATCAGTAAAACGTTTCTTTTACATTCTACTAGCAATACTATATCATACTAGTGAATAAATGAGAAATTGAAAAATATGATTGTGAGAATTTCTTTGGTAATCATAGAATAAATTGGCGTGCACATAATGTTGCAATGTTTTATGAATATTAATGATTTGAAGTAAATGAAAACAAAAAGAAAATATTAAATTAAAAAAGGATCAGCATATTTGCTAAAATTTTTAGTAACTTTTATAGATGATAGAATAGGTTGGAATAAATTTTCAATGTATTCACGGCTTCACTGAAACGTTTTATTTCGTAGAAAGAATCTGAGAAGCTTTTGCGTGTGATAATTTTTCATAACACTGTATAAATGTACAGATCAATTTCGATGAAACTCATTCACTTTCGAAAGTCGATTTCATGAATCTCAAAAGTCATATTTATTTTACTTAAAAAAAACTAGCGAATTCATATCCGTACTAGCGATGGTCAGAATAATATACTTAAGACAAGGCTTCTTTGTAATGAGAAAGACGCATGATAGTATGTGGGCATTACATTAAACTTACTCTGACACCCACACCCTCAATTGCTATAACAACTTTTATAAACTTTTGTTTTTGATAGAAAAAGACCTTCGGACAGTTGTTTTCTTTTGAAAAGATTTTCGACTATGAAAAATGAAATATAAGTTCTCATATTTGGCTAACAAGAAAATAATTCAGTTCTTTCGTTTCTAGGTATCATTTCTTTTCACTGAAATTTATGATGCAAATTCGACATTGATCAATTGTGGTTGTGCTACTAATGTTCATTGTCAAACTTCGGCTTTTATGTACCATAATAAACAAGTCGCTGAAGGTGCCGTTTATATAATACCAGGCATAGTTGAAGGTTGTTTTGTTATTAATTCACTTCTGTACTCCACACTTCAATGTTTATATTTGGATTCAGATTGTTTTCCAATTCTATTCGGTTTTCTATTTCGTAGGGATATTGATGATATACCTATCGAACGCATGTATGATGCTCATCCTTTGATTTACAATCCAACATTGAGCAAGTATCCTCCAGATACTTTAGTTTTAGAAATAGTTAAGAAACTAATGATAGAACAGTGGAATCCATCATATACATATAATCAATTTTATAATTCATGTGCACCAAGTTATTGCATTTATTCAAAGAACATTCGCACAAAAAACACTATGGGGGTAATAACAACACTGGTATCTTTAATTGGGGGTCTTACAGTCGCATTGCGTCTCATTACCCCTCAATTGGTCAAGTTTATCTATTGGCTATTGACAGTGATCAAGAAAAAAAAAGAAAAACAACGTCAACAAGGTAATGATTATAGATCAAATATATTTAAAAAACAATTCATTCATTATAAAACTATTTTGAATGCAGTTTATATAAAATAAAAAGAATGAAAATGACTTCTCTACAATCTTAAATAACATATACAATTGATTATCAGATTTACTGGTAAAAATGTATGAGAATGAGTTTGAGAGTACGGATGTGGATGACTATCTATATCCATCCTCAAGATGATGTGGATGGGTTTGCCTTTTCTTTATGTTATTCAAATTTCATTTACTTAATGACCATCGAGCATATGAAAAATGTTTGTTTTTTTCTTCATAGTTCGTCCGAAATTGTTCGACAGATTGAAGATGAAACTACGAAATATAACTATGCTTCTGCACAAAACTTTAATGAATTTAAATCTATTTACTGTGCGAGATTTTAGTAGCAGTATTGATCGAATGGCAGCTAAGCGTCTTGGTCAATGGACCACTCGTCTTTATATTATTTTGCTCATTATTAGTCTTAGCATTCCTGCTCTATATGCTATTATTCAATCTCAAACTTTGACAAAAACATACAAAGAACCATCTTTTAAATCATACGAAAAGCTTCAACGTGATCATGAAAATGCACTAGAATGTCCATGTTCATCTATTGCAACAACATACAATGAATTTGTTAAAATTGATGCACGATTTCATGAAGTAAGTAAAAACAGATCCTATCTAATGAAGAAATCAAAATAGCATAATAGTTTTGTAATAATTGTAAAATTCTTCCGTTAATATCTAAAAATCGAGTTTTTTTCTTTTTCGTCAATTATAGATATGCTCGAGTCCATTCGCCTCGAATCAATGGCATATTAATCTCACAGCTGGTCTTGTTTCTAATCTCTCTATCTACGATGAAAGAGACTATCGTCGGTTTCTCTCTGCTCATGTACAGTTTCTTCAAGGATTATGTAATATTTCAAATGAGTCAGTATCTAATACAATCGATCAATTTCTTTCTTCGTTACTAATTACTACTCAACTTCTATCAAACAAGAGTTTTCATGCACGTGTCAACTCGCAGATAGAACTCACTCAATCGAATACTCCTACAGCACTTCGCCATTTTCTCTTCTTAATTCGAAATATAAATCATGGAAATGCCATTATATCAAAGTATGGAACAAATTTTCAGTATATTCTTGATTGTGAACTGAAATACGAGAATTCTTTATTCACTAAAGCTGTAATCTATGATGATCAATGTTCCTGTGGATTGTCTCCATTGTGTACTACTCAAGCAAGTTTTATTGAAAGCAATTCTTCTAAAAAAATTCCGATTCAAGGTTTAAAAATGGGTTGTACGCCAAGTGAATCATTTCGTGCTTCAACACTCGAATGTTTTTATAATCAAGCATGCCTTACTTTAATTCAACAATATACAAATTACAAAGCTCGTATCGATCCTATTTCATCTAACAAGAGTCAATTTTCTATTAATACTACGATGGCTGAACTTATCGATCATCTATTTATCGAAGAATGGAAAACAAATATAAGTTATCGAACTTATTTTGAAAAATGTTCACCCCTATCTTGTTCTTATACTTATATTCAACGATTTAATTTATTCTATATAATCACTCTTCTCCTTGGTTTGCAAGGTGGTCTGACGATTGTTCTTAAATGGATATGTCCTAAACTAGTGTATGGCCTAGCCAAAATATATAATTATCGAAAGAGGCAAACAAATATTATTCAACCTTCATGTTCACATGGAATATCGACCATTAACATAACTACTACAAATGTCTATAATGCCGATATCGATCCAAAGCCAATACCAACAAATAGAACATTACGGTATGTATGTTTTATATTGATTTGATCTATAATAGAAATGACGATAGTTACTTTTATAAACATATAATCAAATGTTTTGTTTATAAGTTGATCATTTTCGATGTTATCCATAATCTGAGTTATAGAACTTAGATAAAGCATTTAGTAGTTTCTTTTCAAAGAAAAGTTACTTTGTATACGGATCATAATTCAGTTTATAAATAATATCAAAAAATGATCTCGTAAGCAAAGTTATAGCTAAAATATCTGATTAAGTGTGTCAAACTATTCAATAGTAAAATAAGTCTAGAAAAATAATTCAAAGTAAATATTCTATCACTAATTTATAATCAATACCTTTTTTTCCTTAGAACAACGTTGATCTCAAAACTCCAATGCTCTTATAAAGTTATATCAGTGTGTATACTACTGATATTTATCGTAACTGGTCTTGTTATATTTTCTATCTATATCAATCGACAAGGTAAGATTTAAATCGAAAGTGTGGGTGTGGGATGGTTGTGGGTAGTTGCAGAGAAGTCTTCTCGAACACACCCTAAGCCACCCCATACCCGCACCCACATCCTTGAACTTGGGTTAAATATTTTTTTTATCAGCTCCCTTGGTAAACACGATAACCAATGTCAGCACAAACACTACGACAATGCCAACAACTTCAACTATGAAAAGTTAGTAAACCAAGATTATTTTTCTCTTCTTCAATGATCGTTCTGGATAAACAAATAAATCTAGGAATTCTATCAAAGTGATGAAACATATATAAAGTCTTTAGAAAGTTTTCAATCATTTTGTTAACTGCCATTCATCAATATCTTACACTGATTAAATGAGTGTATTAATCTTCTCAAATTATATTCAGGCTGAACAGTGTAAATGATTAATAAAGACTATACTGATACCTCTAAAGAACAAATGAAAGAATAATATAAATATTAAAAGAGATTTTTTTAAGTATTCTTTTTAAGTAGATAAAGAAGATGATCCATTGAGAGCAAACCTAGATTTTTCCTTACTTAATAAAGACAATAGAAAGATCTCGATCAATGAATTGATCAAGATTAAATTGTTTCTTAATCATACCATTATTTTCTATATTAAAAATAAAGATAAACAAGAAACAAGATCAAATACATATATCAAAGAATATATATGTTCATCGAAACACTACAGTTATGACAACATCTTTCTTGAGAACATTACAAAATTTGATGTGTTTTCGTAGGATTTCACTGTTTGCAAGTGTAACAGAAAGAGAGTTAGTAAATTTCATAGATTTATATATTAAAGGGCTAGTGTAAAGAATAGCAATATGAAACTGATCTTTATTCGATATGATAGAATTTAACTTACTTTACCTTTTCGATTATTCTATTTTTAATATATGTATCTATGATACTTTCATTCATATTCACAATTGAGCCAGTCGAAAAGAATCAAGTAATTGTGCATATTATATCTGTAATGTTCGTAGAATGATTCTAGAGGTAGATCGACAATTATCAATAATAATTCGTAAGCATACGATACTAATATTTAATGTAAATTTAGTTCACGTAAATTCTTTCTCAGATATACGTATTTTAAATTGTGAAAATAATTTATTATTTTCTTTTCATTAGAATCAATTTGTCCGTTAACATTTCAACCAATATCAATCAGTTTATCTCAACCGTATGAATGGTCAGATAGATTCGTTATCGGTGATTTTAACGGTGACAACCAATTGGATCTTGCATTTTTTTATACACGCTTAGGTAATATAATTGTACTTCTTGGAAATGGCAATGGGACTTTTAAAACAGAAAAAACATTTTTGACAGAACTAATTTGCATACTACAACATGTTGCTGTTGGTGATTTTAACAATGACAATCGGTCTGATCTCGTCATTATCTGTTCTAGAGAAATGGGAATGTATATTTTGCTTGCAAATGATGATGAGATGTTTGAAGTAAACACAGAGATCTCAATCGAAAAGGACAGTAGCGTAGAATCTATTTCTGTAACTCATTTCAATGGTGACAAATACTTAGATATCGCTGTCGTCAGTTACAGACCAGTTAGTATTCTTATTTTTGTTGGGTATGGTGATGGAAGTTTCTCAAAGCCTACAATGGTACCGGTAGTGCATGGTAATACACCAGAGTGCTTTGCTATTGTTGACTTTAACGATGATGGTCAATTAGACATTGCTGTCAAAAACGAGAACTCTATGACTATTAGTATATATTTTGGACGTGGTGATGGAACTTTTGAAGTACCGAAGTGGTATTATATGGGACTTCTTTTCTCCGATTACCGTATCTTAGCTGATGATTTCAATGGTGACACTCGAATAGATCTTCTGTGCTACAACTCTGAAAAGAATCTTATTGGCCTAATGACTGGATATGCTAACAAAACTTTCGAACTACCAAAATGGTCTACCATTAACAATATTTCCGCTTCGAGTAATATTTCAGACAATAACTTCTACGTTGACACTCGATATGAAATTGTTCTCAACAATAGTTGGAAAAAAACATTTAAGGCGAATCATGATGAGGACGAAACTGTAAATCTTGTTAGTGATTATAATTGTGATGATCATGCTGACATTATTAGTTATGATCGTTATAGCGTTATATTTGGCTTGCTTGGACAGGGAAATGGCAATTTTGAAAAACAAACAATACTTTTGCGTATTGGTTTTGACCGTATAAGTGATATCGCTGTTGGTGATTTTGACAACGATTCTTATCAAGATATAATGGTTACCCACTATGGATCCAGTATCATAACGATTCTTTTAAACAGATGTGAATGTTGCAAACTTAAAAAACGCTAGAGAAGTACTTTTATTCATCAATGACTTTTTATGAAAATCTCGCTTTCATAAATCCTCAATTTGGCGAATCAAAAATGCTGCATCACAAAATGCTTTTTTCTTACTTATTATAAAATATTGTACGCAAAGCTTTTCTTAATTTGCTTTTAATTTATATTTAACCTATTACATACTATTAAAATTGTAAAGAAACAATTAGATAACAACAAGGCGTGTCACTTATATAGTTCTATTTTTAAGCCCAAGTCAGGGTGTGGGTGTGGGTATTCTATTTAATTCAAACTCATACCCACAACCACCCCTATAATGATACTCACAACATTTCTTTAATGATTTTCACCATCTTGTACTGTGTCTTTATATTGTTAATAAAATGAAACGTCAACTTCAGTCCAGTGACATAATTTGTCTTTCTTAGTAAAGATATTATTGATAAACTGGAAATGAAATAAAGAAATGATTTTCATTGTCAGATTGAATTTAATTAAGAAATAATGTGAAAAATTGTAGAATAAAAGTAGCACTAACCTCTCGCATCTTCATACACTGAGGACGAAATTATTTTGATACCCATACATTTTGTCCTTTTTTAATTCGTCCTAAATGCTTTTTGTCCGATTTCATGTTGTCTCTTTACAATTCGTCCTCTTACATCACGTCCCAAAAGTTAAGTATTCACTTTTTATCACGATAATATGATGAATTAAAATTTAAGGTCGGGGTGGGGGTGGGGGTGGAGTGGATATGAATAAAGGAGATACATATACCCTCACCCACGCTCATACCCTCAAGATTTATAATGGGCAGTTGTATTAATATAATTATATATAAATAAAAAACTTGTTATTATTCCATTGATGAGTCATCATCTGTAATCATATGGTAAAATAATATTCGAATGAACTGAATGAACTTTAAATTAATCAAATTATAATTATATATTTCATCATATAAGCATGTTAATTCATTAGTATCTTTAGTTGCAAACAAAAACAAGAATACCATTACAAGATTAATTTACATATATTCTATTAACTATGTAATGAATACATATCTATTTATTTTCTGTATATTCTAATTTCATT